GTGTGCCAGTGCAGGCTGGGAGTGGCAGGGTGACAGTAGGGCAAATGGCCTCTTGTTATGACATGCTAAACTCCCTGCTCCCAGCCACAGATCTCCTTGCTGCCGGTTAGCTCCTGTTTGTACATTACCCCTCCTTTTTTAAGTCCCTTTTTAAAGTTTTTCAGGGCCTCCCTGCAGTTGGCAGTTTGAGGGTGGCTGGTCTCACCCCACTCTCCCAAGGACTTTCCCGTGGAAGATGGATGTGTCTTGGGACAGGCCACAGAGACTGTCCTGGTTCTCAGAGTTTCATTGAAGTGGTTTCTGAAGGTGACTAGTAATTTATTTTAAATTGTAGCATGAACTTCTGCCATCTACAAGTGAAAGACAAAGCACAAGCCTTATGCTGAAGATTTAGTCTGCTACGACCAAAATATGTGTACAAAAACTGTTTAGGAATCAGTATTGCATATACTTTCCTGCCTCTTTTTTGCCCTTCCTCTCCTTTGCTGGTCTTTGAAGAGGACAAAATACACCATTTCCTGAGAGCTGCGTTCACACAGAGAGCTAACATTTCTGGATGCAGAGAGATGGGAGAACTTTGTTTCCCTGGTAACCGGAGCCACCAGAAAGCATTTCCAGCATCTCCTCCCTTTGCTCAGGTTCACTATTGTTGTAGCCTTTGGTCAATAGGTAGTAAAACCAATTATGAACTCAAAAAAGCATCTCGATAGTGTTCTTCACTTAACTCATCTGGCCTCCCTCCCAACCTCTGGAATAAAAAGTGACCTCTGCAAATGATCCCATATCAAAGTATCCAGTGTTGCAATTCATGGTTGAACTTCAAGGTCTGCCCTATCCTGCACATTTAACTTAAACCTAGAAAGCGTCACGGTCTTCTGGGAAACAGTGTCGGCAACTAAGCAGCTTTCCCTCAGAACCTACATGTGCTGGCGGGATGGAGCTGGGTCTCTGCAGCGGCACGGTGAGCGGGTGCCGCACAGAGTCGTGCCGGTGATTCAGTGCTGTTCATTCTTACCTCTGAGTCAGGGCTGAATTAATATCCCAGCATATTGTTAAGGTTTTGAAGCAGTGTGCTGATGGGGGCAGTTCTTTACTTTAGCTTTTGGTAATTAAAAAGACAACACTGAAGCCCTTCCCACCCCCTATTGTTAAATATCACGTATTTCCCTCCCTCCATGTTCCTTCTTCATTCAAAGAATTTCACTAGGATCGCAAAACAAAACACTTTATGGATACACAATTCCCAGTTTATGATTGTCTTTCCACTTAAATGTAGCAATATTGTGTAGCTGATCTGTGAATGAGGTAGAGAGCCTGGAGGGGAAAATAATGGTTGTGTAAATGCATGTGTATTGCAGTGCCTAGGTATTGGACTACTGAGTGTGGTAGTTCTTGAGGGATGGAAGTCACGGCTTAAACAATGGTGCCTAAATATAGAATTTGGTATATAGTTTTGTATTTTAATGAAAAAAAGTCCAGGTGATTTCTGTTGTGTCTCCCAAAGCCCAGAGAGGTGAACATGGACTCTATAGTGCTGTAGCAATAAAATCTGGGGGCATGTGAGCCACAGGGTTGTAACAACAGTGCTAGAGGAAAGTTGTAGCTGAGTGGTGAGACAGTGCTTTTGTGCTGTCTGTCTTCCCTAAATCTTTCCTTGCTTTCCTTTGGAAGAACAGGCAATCACCTTTTTTCTCATGTGATCTATGAGAGGGAACAGGGACTTCTGGCATCAGTGTGGGAACAGAGCAGGCGAGGTCACCTGAAAACCCTTTCTTTCTCCTCCCCTGTGACTTCAGGAGACTCCTGGGCTTTCCTGCAGGGCTATTGGGAAGGACACAGAGGTGTTGAGCAGTTACCTCAGGAGAGGAAGATGGTAACAGAGCGTAGTTCTCCCTCTGCCCTTGTTTTTTCTGTTGATATCATTCCACGTGTTTTCAGTACCAGTGGTGAGACCAATTACTGCTGATAATCCAGATATTAAAGTTTTCATCAAGAAAGCAAACACAAGAAAGGAAAAGATTATTTTTAAGAGTTTACATGAATTTGGCTTGACTTTCAGAAGAAAAGGCATTCCTCTAGCCCAGTGCTTTCTTTCTACTGACTTGCAAAGGCCTACTGCTATCAAGAGCCAGAATTGAGCCTCCAACATGGAGCACCCACAGACAGAAAGCACCAGGCAACTTGAATGTTGTCTCTGGCTCACCCTGTAATTTGTAGTGCTATGGTAAAACTCCACCTCATTCCAGTCCCATATAGTCGCAATGCACACTCCAGTAAGCGTCAGTGACCATAGCTGTGAGCACATCTTTTTTGTGCTAGCTCTAAGATCACTGGACAGTTTCAGCACAGAATTTAGCTAGAGAAAGAGTAGCTTACTGTCCAGCTGCTGATGCTTGAAAAAGCTCTTAACCTTACTGAGTTTTTTACGTCACTTTTTACATCATCTGCGCTTTAGATTTATGCAGAGCAATGATAGACTTTTCTTCCCCATATAGAAGTTTCCGATCCACCTGTAGCAATTACAGTGACAAACTGTTGCTTCTTTCTCCCTCACTTCAACCTAACCCCTAGAATCCATTTTCTTCATTACTTTGCAGCTATATATTCTCAAATTTAATGTGCTTATCCAAACAAAATGATTACTAAGAGGTGGATTATCAATGAATGCTAAAATATGGCTATCTTATAGCTGTCTTGTGTATTTTAATTCCGGAAGTCTAGGGAATATGTTAACAAGAAGTTGAAAATTGCCAAGAAAAGCAATATATGAGAAGAAGTAACAGTAGCAATTCCCTTCAGTACATTTGCAAAAGCCCATAGATTGCAGAGGATAAAAACAGGATGAAGGGTACATTTTATGTTAAGATCTCCCTTTATCTTCCAAGAAGCTATTATTGTTCCAGGGCAGTGTTCTATCCTCAAGTATTGTTTGGGGGTGTTTTTGTCATGTGTTTGCTATTTTGCAATTTTTTGCATCTTCATTTAGGGTGAAACTTTTAGACAACTCTATACAGATGATAGTGAGGAGATGCTGATGTTCTGGAGAAAGCATTGACTGGAGTCAAAGCCATCACCAGGTTTGAGGTGAGAGGTGAGATCAAGAGGATCTGTATCTTTTAAACCTTCTTCATGAGTTTTGACTCTATAGCTAACATAATTTCTCTTCTTGATTATAGGTTCAGAAAAAAAAATGTTTTAGAAATAGAAACCGCAGCCTGGTCACAGATGCTCAACAAGAGAAGCATGAAGTTTCAACATTAGAAAAGGATGAAGGAAACTCACGACCTCTTTCCCAGCCGTCTAAGCTTCACCAAATGCCCAGAGAATCAGGACTGTTTGCTATTGCCAGCAGAGACCTGCGTTCCAGTTGCATGCTTTGAGATGCAGCCAGCCTGGCTGTTCTCCACCTCTTCCAAGGGAGTGTAAACAACTCAGGGTCTCACTTCCCCACTTTGCCATTTAGAGGGACTTCTGGGGAGGATTTCAAGGTCTGTTTGCAAATTAAGGGATATCCTGAATGTAGATTGGTGTGTTCCCAAACCCTGCTTGATGGAATATATTAGGGATAAGCTCTCAGGGATGTGATTTCTGTACACACCATCCCTTCATCCCTGGCTGCAGCTGGAGCCTTGGGAGAGCAGAGCTCCAGCAATGCTACAGCTAATTCTTGGCTTCTCATACAGTGTGGGACAGTTTGAATAAACTAAGGACAGTAATCGAGGTGCCTCTCTCTGCTTTGGTAGCCAGCTTCTGACTTTCCTCCAAGTTGTAAAGGAACATGGGCACAGCCACCCAGCGAGAAGTGTTTTGAATGCACAATTGTGAAGCTGAGGCACGAAAGAGCTGATGGACCAGGCCAGGCATCCAAACTGAAAATTCCTGTTTTATTCAGCATCTACTGTTCTGTAAAATCATGTGGGGTTCAATATGGCAGAGAGAATCATTGCTTGAGGCCTGGGAGTGCAGGGGGAATGAGGAAAGGCAACTCAGAAAAGTGCATTAAAAAGAAGCATTTGTTCATTGCAGAACTTATTTCTTGCTTTTCTTTCAATTTATCTGCCTCTCAGTATTTAGACAGAAGTCATGTGAGCTGCTGAGCTTCAGGGACAGAGACAGAGGAGAGCGTGTGCATCAGTGCAGAGTGCTGCTGGAGCCCTGGCAGAGTGAGCGGGAGGCAGAGGGAGCCTGACAGGGAAAAGGCGAAGTGGTGGGAGCTGGAACAGCAGCAATTGCTGCTACCACGTCGCAGTTCATGCCCGGGAATCGGCTCCGCTGCCTGCACATCTCTCCGAAGGTGCAGGTGCCTCAGGTTCAAAAGTCCTAGAAGGTCGGTGGTACTCCCAGTGACCAAGTGGAGCTGCTTGATATTTCTCTTTTCCTGCGAAAGACATCTGCTTGAGGACTCCGCTTCTTTTCCCGAACTGAAAGAGGTATTTTGCGTCATTAATGTGTCTTTTCTTTGAAAGCAAGTAGGGGATCGGGAAAAAAAATCACTCAGGACAGGATGTCAAAGCAGATGTGCAGAGAGGTGGTGGGTTTCTCTCTCCCCTCCGCTTTATGGCAGATCTTAGGCAGTAAGGAGCCCCTGTCATTAGGATACAGTTTGACTTAAAATATGGAGGATGGGAGAGACAGGGTTAAAGTGTGGGGGTGGATCTGAGCTGTTTCTCATCTGATTCGTTTCGCTGTGCAATCTCTGAAAGTGGAAGAAAACTTTCCTTGTGCACCTGGAGGAGCAGCACTTACCCGTTACATAGCGAGATGTAAAACTTGTAATTATTTATTATGAATGTAGTTTGCTTAAATCTCTGGTTGGCAACTTACAGTTCCCATCGCAACAGAGCTCCCCTTAACATGCACAAATTTCAGAGGTCTTAACATCCGATGGCTGAGATAACACTTCTGTTTCTTGCCCTCTCTTCTCTCTTTCCAGCGTACTTGCCTCCTGCTTTCTGCATTCTCTTCCCAGTCTCTCTCCTGCCCGTGGGGACTGTGTCCCTATGGATGCCCCCGTACAGATTTTCCGGGAGGAGCTGGACTCCACCTGCTCCCCGGGACCCTGTCGCCCCCCCAGCACCAGCAGCAGCTGGCTCCTGGGCTGGGCAGACTACGACGGCAACGCCACCAGTGCCTTTGGGGACGACCAGCACAACCACACCAGCATCTCCCCCGCCATCCCCATCATCATCACAGCTGTCTACTCGGTGGTCTTCGTTGTTGGCTTGGTGGGAAACTCTCTGGTCATGTTTGTCATCATAAGGTAAGGGGCTTTGGAGGACCTGTTGGAAAAGGTGCAAATGGCAGTCCCTAAATTTTCAGGGGAGGGGAGGTAGTTTAAGGAAGCTCTCTGAGAGTGCTCACATGAGGAGCTGGAAGACATAGCCGGAGTGGCCAGTCCCAGTGGTTTGCTATTCGAGACGGAAGGGAGAAGCTGTTCAGAAGTGATTAAATCCTGTAGCCTGCGGGAAAGGCGCTTTGTGCCCCGGAGCTGCGTTCGCCGGGTGCCCTCTAGGGATGAGAGGGAAAGCTCCAGCGGAAGAGAGAAACTTCTGCGAGGCAGCTCTTCTCCTCTCGGAGGAGACCCCGAGGGACTGCTTCTGAGTCGAGTCATGTGGACACTGTCACGTTGCTGCCTTGTCACCCAGTGGGTCGTTTAACAAGGTGGGGAAAAAGGAAATGGTAAAAGACAGATCGAAACATTTAACGTAAAGCAAGGGATGTTGTTTCTCGGTCAAGCGGTGTTTAGCTCCAGTTGTTGGTGGTGGACTGAAGAAAGAGAAGTAGATGCTGAAATACCTTTCCTGTTGTTTTTCAGGAAACAGGAGGAAGCTGTGTATCTGTGTTAGTTTTTCATATTAAACCACTTAGCAAAATGCACCAGTACTCACGCTTTCACTTCCACTTGTGTATTGGCGTATGTTTTAGCTTGCACTATGATTTCTCTCTCTTTTTTGTCCTTTTCATTTGCAGTTTATAAAAATGTTTAGAGAGTGCAGATCAGCAGGCTGATAATGAGCAATGAAAGGGACAGAAATCATGCAGCTTTTTGGACTCTTGCTTCATGGTCCATTTGAACCTTGTGAAATATTCTGAAAAAAAAAAAGATAATTGTGGAGTATTCATTGCTCAAATGAAATCAGCTTGTGCACAGAAAGAAAAATGGAGGTACTGGAAGGGATCTTGTTAGTAAAGCACGCGTGATAGGGGTCAAGTAATTTCAGGACAGTGAAATAATTGTCAAACTTGATATAGGGGGAAGTTAACTAGAAGCAGTGAAGTTGTTGATGAGGTACTTTATGAAAGATGAGTTATAAACAGGTGAATACTCTTGAATAATGGAAATAAAAGCCCCTTTAATAGTCAGTGCAATAAATAAAAGTGGCTGTGGTCAATGCGGAGAAACTGGTTTGCTCCAGCTTTGTGATGCTGTAATTTTTATACCCCTGCATGCCCTTTTGCCCTTCATTCAGAGTAGACATTTCATTTCTTTTTATATTTCTCTTGCCAGAAGAGAGACTCCATACTTGACACACACACAGCTGCAAAGGCAGAGATTTTATAAGCCATCAGTCACTAACAAAGATAGTTGATTAACTGGCCTGGGCAATAGAAATAAATACAAACTTAGCCAGAGCCCTAAAAGTTAGCATGTATGGATTATACTAGTGCATATGTATTTCCTTTTTTCTTTCCTTCGGTTACCCTCCTAAGATTATTTTTGTGAGGGTATAGCTATCTATGGCTCACTCTCTTACCAGTTCCTACATTAGCCTTTTGCTTCAGTTTCCTCTTGGTTCATCTCTTGATTCCATGATCAAAGCAATAAATAAATATGACAAAACACCTGGTTTTTTTTCTCTTTTTTTTTTTTTCCCCCAGTATCTCACTCTCTTGGGTTTTCTCTGTAGCAAATGCTTTAACCACTACTAGAACCATTAATTGAAGTGCATGTATAAACAACCCTACAATTTCAAACATTTCTTATGATTTTGAAATATTTCAAAAATTCATGCAAGAGGTGTATTTTCTTCATTTTTGTCCTAACCTCTCATTCTTTCCCTCACACCCACTCTCTGCGTGATTGCATTTCAAGATGGATTTTCATGACCCATTGAAAAATATCCCTCTTCAGCTTTCTTGTAGGCCCCCTTTATGTACTGGAAGGCTGCTAGAAGGTCTCCCCAGAGTCTTCTTTTCCCCAGGCTGAACAATCCTAACTCTCTCAGCCTACCTTCATAGGAGAGGAGCTCCAGCCCTTGGATCATCTTTGTGGCTCTCCACTGGACCTGCTCCAACAGCTCCATGTCCTTCTTGTGTTGGTGTCCCCAGAACTGAATGCAGTAGTCCAGGTGGGGTCTCACAAGCAGAGTAGAGGGGTAGATTCAGGAGACTGTGAATAGTCTTGAGATACCTCAGAAACAGACTCAAATTCAGCCATAAGCTGTGGCCTCAGCCTGTTCTTTGTTTTAATACCCCCACAGGGGTGGGTTTGCTACTGCAAAGGGCAACTAGAGAAGCTCATGGAGACCAGTGAGTCAGCATCTCAGCAGCCTGTGCATAGAGTGCTGGCTGTATGAAATCTCCATCAGGTGTGGTGAAGTGTGTTTCTGCTGAGAGGGAAAAACCCTCTCAGAGTTCCCTCAGAGGTAAAAATCACAGAAGAACAGCACTCCGATCACATGTCCAAGCTCCTAAAAGAGAAGTAGCTGAGTTCGATACAGCTCCTGTAAACAGAGATTCGTGTTGAAGGCTGAGTGGGAATGGTACTTTAGTGTGGTGGCGACTGCATGGCCTGTTAAACCGTGTCTCAGGAGACCTGGATTCTTCTCTTGGTTTTACTACCAGGCTTCAACACTTTGTCCTGTCCTGACAATTCATGGAGCTGTCACTTGGCTTCCTCACGTATAAAGTGGAGATACTGGTATTCACCATCTTTAAGCACACAATAACTCTTAGATTTAGAAGCCAAAGCCCAATCACTAAAAATCGTAACAGAGCCAGACCAGGGCTATTGTAAGCACCCCAGACTCCTCGGGCACACTGAGAGTGGTGTGAAAGAGCTTTGCATTGTGTGCAGAGTGTGTCCTGCATTCTTTGCACGCCTGTTGCAGTTGGGTGTCATGGTGTCGGAAGTCTGCAGGACCTCTCCTTGGTTTCGGATCAGCTGTGAGGCACGTGCGCCAGCCCAAGGGGATCTGTGGGTGGGCTGACAGCGCCTCGCTGACGTGGAGCCATGGCACACAGGATGAAAGGCTCTCCTGCAGCTGCTGCTTGTCCTGGGAAGAGAGTAAGAGAGAAAGAGGGCATCACGTTGGTTCTTGCACTGGTGGGAAATGTAGATACTATGTAGGAAGCACAGTCCTCTCCCTATGGAGGAGGAGAGGAGGCATGAAATGGGTTTGTAGAAAGCAGGTGAAATTACCTGACCTTGCCTGAATAAAGTTACATAGCTATGTGTGTCTTGGCATGATCAGAGACTACATCTCAACCTCAAACTTACTTTACCTCCGAGGACTTCGAAAATATTTCTAGAAGTGAAATAGTTGGCTGAAGCTGATAAATAAAATGACTTATCCTTGGAAGCAAAAGGTCTTTTTCTTCCCTTCCTCCTCCCTCTTGACTTTATTTCTCTAAAATTTTGTGCTGACTTTAAAGAAAATGGCGTTTTCTTGTGACAACTGGAGGGGAAGAAGAGTCCTCTGACTAATGTTACAACTTTAACTATAGATTTGCTCTTATCAAAGCCATAAACTTACTCTGGTAAAAACTCTGGGAGATGCTGTCTCTTACCCACTCTAGATTCCTTTTCTCTACGTGCCTTACCTCCGTTGTTCCTGAAGTAATTTACTGAGAGCAGCTGCCATCATCAGGATCTTAAATAGCCAATCCTTTATTTCTTTTAAAATTATCTTTCAAGCTTCCGATGAACTGAATAATTTTCTACATTCAAAAACAGTTTTAACAAAAGACTGTGTCATAGATATGTAGATTCATTCCTAGGGGAAAAGAGAAAGCTTGTATTCTGCTTAGGCTAATGTTGAAGAAAAAATATAGCTAGTAATACATTTTTGTTCTTATATTCATGGAACCGAATGGCATCTTATGTAACAGGAAGAGTCTATTAAGAAATGTGATATAAAATCGATTCCTTTCCAGACTGTTTTAAGTCTTCTCCATCATTCATTCCAAATCAGAATGAAAATATATTAAAAAAAAGTATCAAAAAAAGAAAATGATTCAATATATTGATTTAAATCAATATTATATTTTTAGAACATCAAAAGACTACTTGTTAATTTGCTTTAAATTATTGTTCTAATTTTATTAAATTACATTTGGAAAGAATATTGTTCTGAATCAAAAAATGAAGCTCCAAAAGAGTCAACCTAACTGAATTACTTGTTTGCTATTACTTGCAGTTGGTATTATTTCCTTCTTTTATGAAATCATGGGTTTGGCTGCTAAAAGACAAGGCTTAGCTGTAGCATGCTTTGTGAAGTTTCTGGGTTTTTATCTTTTTTTTCACCCGGTCAAACATTTGACACCTTACTATCATCAGTATAGAGGTATCGACTGGATTAATAAGAAATTCGTCACAGTACCTCACAGCATCTGGGCTTATCTTACCAAACGGAGGTAGTTTTGGTGGGTTCTGAAGGGTTCGGCCAAACTTGGCATAATTTTCTTCACAACTTTGGAGACTGATCATTACCAACAGCCTTTACAGATGGCACAAAGACCAGGGTAGCAGGAAACATGGAAGAGGACAGGTTTATAAAACGATATGGGTAGTCTGACAAGCACAGTTGAACATTTCTAACACTTTTAATACCTTGCTAGGCAAGGAATATCTGAGGCCTGGGGTTTCTAAGCCGTCAAGAAACTCAACATGAGTTCCCAGTACGATGCTATGATAAGAAGAGCTGATACTGAAAAAGTGGAGGGGTGCCCAGGAATGGATTGGAAGGAATATTTACTAGATATAGTATTAGAGAGAGGCTATAGCTTATAGTGAGTAATCTGTTTGGCTTCTGAAAAGTAATTTGGTATCCATCCAGACACTTCCGCTGGGCTAGCAGCCAGGTAGTCATTTATTTCAGAGAAAGACGTAACTGGAATCAATGTCTGGAAGCAAGACAAATTACAGGGAAACTTTCTGAACCGGCAGAAAGTGAAAACTTACAAGAACTTTCCAGTTTGGCTGCTGGCAAGGCAGAAAACTTGAGATAATTTGCCTATCCTCAGCCTGGAGAGTTGTGG